GCACGCGCACACATGCAAACATGCACATACGAGCTCAAGCACGCACACACACACATACGAGGGTACGAGCCTGCACATGCCCACACACACACCTGTACTTTATCACCAGAATGCACACCCATACATACCTGCACTCATGCATGTGTGTGCTCAAGCATATACCTGTGCATCACCGTGAAGCCTCACGCCCACTCTCACGTCCAAGGTTTGCCTCACAGGGAGTATTTCTTGACTGCCGAAGAGTTCCCATCACGGCGCTGCAGGAGTGAATATCGGAAGATTACTGAAAGCGGCGAAGGAGTACCTATCAGGTGGGAAACATGGTCACAGTGAGGCATGGTAAATCAAACTGACAAACGATAACAACAGAGTCCCTCAAGGATCGATCCTTGGTCCCAAACTATTCCTCGTTTATAGTAGTGATCTAATAGAGTCCTTCATGTAAATACTCGTAGATAATACGAAATAAATAAGAATGATCAGGACAAATACATCTTATAAAATACTCCAATAAGACCTGAACAAGCTGCAGTTGGTCTGGGAAATGGCTACTGAATTTCAATACAAGCAAGTGTAAGGTGATGACACTGGGAATAGGCAGCAGGACTGAGTATATATAACTGGAAATATTTCCCAGAAGCAACAATTGGAACAGCCAAAGACAGGACACCAAACCTGAGACACGTCAAAAAAAGTAACGTCATCACCACTGTCTATACTGGCGATGGCGATTTTCAAAACAGCTTTCGGGAGCTTCAATAAAGAGGCATTCAGAACAATGTACACCTACGTGAGACCGACCCTAGAATATGCAGCCATATAGTGAAACCCCCCTATTTTAAAAACACATGAAGAAACTTGAATATGTACAGAGGTTTGCAGCTAGGCTCGTCCTACAATTATGTGGAATGTTGGTACGAGAAAAAGCTGAAAACGTAATTTAATGAAGCTAGAAAAGAGGAAAGAGATATAATATAAAATAAAAGAGACATATATAAAATATATATATTTGTTGGTGTGGCTGCACTCACGAACCATTATGGTATGAGAAAGGTTCTTGTGTGAACCAAGCAGCCACACCAACAATATACCTATTCAGCCTGTCTTCGAATACAAAGACCCAAGCTCGTTAATCCAGCCGCCAAACCCCCTGTTTATGAATGAAAAGCAGTTTACACACAACTCACAACTGATGACGTCCGGACACTTACGGAACAAATGCTTCGCTCACGTCGTGTGTTCGAACCACAATTTTATAAATGCTTCACCCATGTACTTCAAATACAAATAATCGCCAACAGAACCTAAACACCTAACCTAACCTACACCTAATTATACATATAATTTTTATGTATAATAATATTAATTTATATATGAGAACAAACCAATTTTTAATACGCACTATGTTAACATTGATGAATACGTCTGGGGAGTCGGCCGCTTGATTGATTGATTGATGAAGATTAAGCCACCCAAAACGGGTGGCACGGGCATAAATAGCCCGTAAGTGGTGGCCATTTTAAGCCATTACCAGTATCAAGAGCTGATACTGGAGATCTGTGGAGGTGCGAATGCACCCTGCATGACGGGAGATGTCTCCCTTGTGAATGTGTTAAGATGAAGATGAAGCCACCCAAAAGGTGGCACAGGCATGAATAGCTCGTAAGTGGTGACCCTTTTGAGCCATCACCAGTATCAATAGATGATACTGGAGATCTGTGGAGGTGCGACTGCACCCTGCGTGACGGGAGATGTCTCCCGGACCAAATGGTGACCAGATGATCGACACACACTAGTCGGCCGCTGCTCTAAACAGCCTAATGCGAGGACGGGTTGACCTGTTATGTCTCTATCATAACTCTTCTTTCCTCTTTTCATGCTTCATTATCGCAAAAAATAGAAGAAAAGTAGACTGAAATTAACGAACAAGTTATATATGCCAACTCTATTCACTATTATTAAAATAAGATAAAACAGAAGAAATTTCACCCCATCCTCCAAACAAAGACCCAAAAATGATTCCAGACACCCGCCAAGCCCTCTGTTTATGACTGAAAAGCGGTTTGCACACGATTCACAACTGATGACGTTCGAACACTTCTCGAAAAGTGCTTCGCTGACGACTTTTGTTCGAACCACAACGCTGTAAATGCTTCACCCACATACTGTACTACAAATACAAATAATCTCCAACGGAACCTAAACACCTAACATAACCAGTGCCTAAATATGCACAATATGCTTAATATAAAATAATATTAATATATATTTGAGAAAATTCCTATTTCAAATGAACAACATATTAAAATTGACGAATGCGTATTTGGGATCGACCGCTGGATGGAATGAACTTGATCTGAGGACGGGTTAGAAATTTAGGTAGTAAGTCTTTGCATAAAACAGCCAACAGCTGAGACCTGGCCGTATAGGTACAAATAGCTTGGCACACACGCGCGCGCGCACATGAGGCATTAAACCACAGACCTATGTCCCCGCATATCCCTTGCATATCACGCAAAATATTGGGAAATATCATAAGATGCTGGTAGAACATCTGGAGAGATGAGACCTTATAACACAACACCTTCATATGACTGAGATCAGGCAAAATAGAGACGGGTGGGTGGAATGTATATTCTTGGACTGTCAGAAAGCCTTCGACACAGTACCCCACAGGAAATTGATGGACAAAATAGAGAAACTGACAGGAGTAACTAGGAAGATACTCCAAAGGATAAAGGTGTACCTCTGCGACAGAAGACCAAGAGTCACAGTGCGAGAAGATACCTCTTCTCTAGGTGAGAACACACAAGCGAAAACCGACACGCATGGGTAGGAATATACCCAGAAAACAGAGATGGGTATAATATTATATGTGCCTTGCTCAATGGATGAGACCTTGTTGATGAGTACGGGCGAGGGCGATCTACCTGGAGCAGATGGTCCTGACCTCACAAACGCTCTCTCTAATCCTGCTAATCCTCACCTGTTAAAGCCCGACTCAGTTTATAGACTGAATCATTCCATTTCTTCAGTGTTTTTGAATGATTGTTTTTATTGCATTGAGAATATGCCATTCCAATTCTCCTTTTGCAACTAAAAATTCAAGTTTGTGACTAATTATCCATCGAATTTCTATATTTAAAACTGTATGATTTGTATGTTTTTTTTTCTCACAGGTGGGTACAGTAGCAGACAACATGTGACTCTTGTCAGCAGGCTTAGTTGTTCCTTCCCACGGCTCATCCTTCCTGCACAGCCTTGAAAGACGCTGTGCAGAAAGGTGCAGAATCTCTATTCTGTGCAGAATAGAGCCCAATCGCTTCCTCGAGGGTTGAAATAGAACTCACGGTCACCACACGAGAAACAAGTATCTCTGATATTCCATGAGTGAGACTAAACCGAGGCAGAAATGCTATGTAAATCAAGGGTCCCAAATTGTGGAATGACCTCCCAAATGGAATTAATAACTGTGTGTGTGTCTCAGTTTAGCAGCAGTTTAAGAGAGGCTACGAAATATTTACTTAACATTATATAACTGATTTCACTCACATTTTCCATCGGAATGAGATAGTTTTGTGTTACTGTCATTTTAAATTTTATTTAAAATTTATGTCCTTGCTTCATTGTCATCAAATTATTGTATCTTCATTGATAAACTTACTTATGCAAACAATTTTAAATGATCTTGTATATTTTTAGTGTTTGTCCCCTTAAACAGTTACATTTTACTCATTTATTATATGTTATTATGAAATGCTACAAATGTTATAGTAGCTTTACTAAATTATACCTTTGTATTCTGTTTGTTATTAATGTTGAACAATGACTACTGTTAGTAGAACTAAAGACAATAATGTAAGTCTTTACTTTACCTGTCATTAAGCATCACCTCTATACTGTATATAATTTGTAATATTTCTTGAACATTCTCACTTATGCTATCTTACTTCTCTTTCAGTATTAAGTGTTTACCCCTTTGCACCTATAAATAATTTTGCATCTAAATTATTCTAAGTTTTACCCGAAACGCTGTGCATAGTAGTGGCTAATTCATTTGTATGTGTAACACCTGTCCCCACAATTGTCCCTTCCTCTTATGTTCTTTGTTGGTACATTCTTATTAATAAAAATTATTATTTTAATTATTATTAAGGGTTAAGGATCGGTGGCCGCCTTGAGCAAGGCTCAAACCCAGTCGGAACAAGGAATATTTGCACCGAGAGGTGTGCCTTGCTCTTCCATATGTACACACTGAGAACTGACCTACTTCTTGGCTAAAGTATAATTTTTGTTAGTAAGCTATTGTGATAAGTCTAATAACCCTCCAGCGACTGGTAGGCCTTAGCTTAGCAGACCAAAACTTTGCTGAAATATATTGTGAGGTGGGAGGCCAGTGGTGGTGCTACTTCTACCCCATAAGGACTTTTATATATAAAAATAAATTTAAACAATATGGATATTTTACCTTTCGAGAAAAAATAACGATTATTTTTTTGAGTTTTGACTTCATACATATATTTTAAATATTGTATATGATATGGGGAACAGTGAGCATGAGGCGAAAGAGTAAATGAGTATAACTATATAGCAAATGTCTATGCACCTGCTTGAAATATTGTCAAAGTGAGTTTTAAAGGTGGGAGGAGAGGTGGAGAAGGTGTGGTATTTTCCTAGTGTGGAGGTTGAAAGTGGCGGGTCCTGCCCGGCTACCCACAATCCCTCCACCACCCCTGACACATCACAGTGACGTCACCCCACATGCCTCACACCGCCACCTCCCTCATCTCACTTTAGCTCTTATATTCTCTTTTTCTCCTTCTTGGGAGTCTATTATCTCTAAAAATTCTATGCGCCCGGTACTCCATACACATGATTCTACTACGTATGTGGTTATTTAGCAGGGTTATGGGACAGGAGAAGTGGAAAATGGGGATAAACAGGAGTGCAGGTATCAGGAGTGAGGGGGCCAATGAGGACGGCCCACGAATGGCCACGTCTGCGCCTCGCGCCGCTTCCTATATTCACTCCACCAGTCGGTATCAACAACTTGAACCATGAGGGTGGGAGTGTCTTTTTCTGTCCTACTGGCCACCCTGGTCTTGGCGGTCTTCGCTGACGAGGACATCACCAAGGACGAGGGTGTGCTGGTGCTCACCAAAGACAACTTCAAGAAGGCCACGGAAGATCACGAGTTCATCCTCGTAGAGTTCTGTGAGTATGGTGATGTTTGCTCCGGGTGGCTTCTTTTTTTCTCTCTCTCCCGCCGTGCTTGTGGGTGGATGGAACCGGTACCTGGGGCCTCCTTGGGTGACTGTAGGTGTAGCTTAAGGCTTAAATAGGCCGTATTCAAGGATGTGGAGCAAAAGACTATCGTGAATTTGAATGGTTCGTGTCAGCGTCGTGGGCCTGATGAATGGTTTTAACATATGGTTAAGACGGTGCAGGCGATTGGTTTGGTACGTCTCAGGATAGATAACTAGGTAATGACATCCTGGTTACATGCGTGCTTCCAAGGTATGTAAGATGGCAGGATAATTAAGATAATTAAAAGATGACTGGAGGTAGATGCGACGTGGCGGTCTGGTTGGAGGGGGTGAATGGAAAGGGTGGGGAAGGGGGTGTAGTGAATCATTCAGGGGATGGAGGGGGTGTTGGTGTCTGCCGTCTTGCAGGGTATGAAACTGATTATCAACATGGCTATCTTAAGTGTAGGTATTTTTACCATATGGGAGACGGCTGGTACTGGCTACGGATAGCGGGGGGTTAGGGGTGAAAGAGGATGTCTGCTTCTCGGGATCGAAGTCTCAAGTGTAGACTGAGGAATCAATGTAGACATTACAGGTTCAAGATTGACACTACATAACCACACCGATCTTCACTAATTGTGGATTTTTATCATAATGAAATTGTACCAAGATCGCTGTTAACATGGGGATGTCATGACCATAACTAACAAATATCGCCCTTTAAGATGTACACGTCACACGTTTAAATTGTTGGTCTACTGCACAGAAAAAAATCTAGAATGTTGGTAAGAATTAAATAGCTCATTTAAGCTAAAGTTTAAAGTCTCCAAATAGATTAATTTGTATCAAAGATGACGAGCCGTAGAATATAATTGCGGGGTCCCGCCCACGTTGGCCTAACATGGAAATACCAGGACACATTAACAGGCAGACATATGGTACATTAGAAGATAGAACTGTATATACAGTACTTGTGAAAAACTTGAGTCACATTTTCATTACTAATGACTAGCAGATTTTTCATTATCTGCTATTTTCACAATCATGCAAGATGCGCACTTGTTCGACGTGTTTTTACATACGGAGTTAAGATCTCGATAATAGAATTTACGTTTAAGCTGGCAACCCGCAATAATGGTTAATTATTCCAATAAGAGTTTCAAGAGGTAAAAAAAAATTTTTTCGAAATAGCGTAGATATGTAACTAGTTAAAGCCACTTCGGATTATTGGAAGTGTTTTAAGAGAACTAACTTAACGAATTTAAATTTTAACTTGACTGTTAGTTAAAATTAAAGATGTGGGCGTACACTGGTGTAGCACCTTCACCAGCATGGTGGATAAAGACCTGTTGTTGTTACATGCTTTAGTCATTGCGTCTTATGGCGTGAAAATCGGTAATTTAAATAAAGACGGTGTAGATTAAGATGGAGGAACGTGGGTTCCTCACACTAGTACACAAAATATGGGAAAGGGGGGGGGGGTGTAGCCGGCTAGTTCCGTACACAAGGGGATGTGGCGTGGGGGGGAGTGGGGGGGCTAGCCGGCAAGTTCATGGTCGCGCGCATAGTACTGACGGCCATATGACTGGCAGATGGTAACTTTCATGCTTAGTTTGTAATAACTCATTGTTAAATGGTTTAGCCCCATTTTAGGCTTTCGTCTCAGTTCAGTTACAGCTTCAACTCGTGTTATAGTAAGCGCATCCAGTCGGATTGGACTGGTTGCGCGATTAACATAATGAAAGTTAATGCACAAAGACATCTCCTTATTTTCTCGATGAAAGTTAATGCTCTTTAGGCAAGTCATTTTTTAGGTTCTGCTTGTATAGCAAGTTATGAAGGTAGTTGTGAAGATGGTGTGGTCGGATGGATGGATTGCGGGTGTGGTGAAGGTAGTTGTGAAGATGGTGTGGCCGGATGGATGGCTGGGGTGCGGGTGTGGTGAAGGTCCGGCCGTTCACCCCACCCACCCACCAGCGGCCACTTGCTTCACCTACACCACCCAACCACAACAGTTAACTCGATGCTCCATCAATGTTGCTTTTCTTCGGAACGACTGATGGACATTCTTAATAAATGCCACACTTACACTAAAATTCCCTTTAATGTTGCTCATATGTACTGTATCAGTATTTATTTTAGCACTGGATGGCATTAAACTACACAAATCGCCATCTACACCAGATCACGTAGATACATCCTCCAGATGTTTGGAGGATTTAAAGCTATATTGTATTTACTTATTTAAAAAGTAGGCAGGGTTTGAGTAACTATACAACATGGAGTCTGCGTGGTGCAGTGGTAAAACTATCCCGGCATTTTGCACGCGCTTTGGCTCGTATCATGGCCGGGGAAGATCGACAGGGTGCCAATCCTCAACTGTAGCCTCCATTCACCCAGCAGTGAATGGGTACCTATTTAACATTTGGTGGTTCATATTCTGCGGAAAATTAAGATTACGGACCTACCCAAAATGCTATGCATGCTAGTGACTGTACTAGATTAAAATAAGTGTGCACTATGTATTAAAAAAAAATCCTAGTTTGTGATTGAAGAAAGTCCCTTGAGGCATGCAGTGAAGCTACCATCTTTCACCGAATTGACATAGCGGTAGTCCTGTTTGAGGCAGACTCCAAAGTCTTGGACACTAATAATGTGCATATATTAGTTATTAATGCACAGTATTTTGTATAATGGTGTAGATGTGAAAGTGTTGAACCAAAATTTTGGATGCAACCTACATCCTTACTGAAGGTGCTGATTTTCATAATCAGTGCCTTTCTTTCCTCATCTTTTTTCCTTTCCCATAACTTACAATACCTTTAGTAAGGATGTAGGTTGCATCATAAATTTTCATTTACTAGTGTTTACAAAAGTTGGGTCTTGGCTTCATTCATTACAGCACTACAGCATTGTAGAAAGTTTCTCCACTGTAAGAGTACATGTATTACATGAAGCATTTGATTTGGGATATTTTATATATAGTAATTTTTTTTAAATATTTTACCTAGAGGGGGTAGTTTAATGGGCTGTCAAAGAATGAAAATGCTGCCAAATCAGAATGTAGTTCTAATACCAGACTGTGAAACTTAATCAAATCTTAAAATTAAAAGTTTAGCTTGCAGTTGCAAACTTGGGGGGGAATCCTATTCGAGGACTGTATCTGTGCTTTCCTAACTCTGTGGGCTTTTATATTACACATTTATGATTTCTTGATGTCCTTGCAGGATTTAGGAAAGAAAGTTCCATTTCTACAAAAGTAAATTTCTCGAGTGAAGTACAAAAAAAATTGAATGAGATGCATGTTACCATAATGGGTCTTCCAGTAGATTTTGTTCATAACTGTTGGTTGATCAGGATCAATTCCCTAGTGGGACAGAAATGGTTGGGCATGTCCCTCAATCTGTGACTGTTTACTTTTAGTAAATAGGTACGCAGAAGTTTAGCAACTGCTGTGGGGTTGCATCCTGGGTAAGGTCAGTTTGACCTGGGGAGACCTATATAAACCTAAAATACTTGGCTACTATAAAAGCCTAAAGCGTGCATATACACAGGGTTCTCTCCTGACAACTGGAATTAAACAACAAAGGTACAGTAATGGAATTAATCATTGAAGGTAACTTAATACTTTTTAGCTAATAAAATCTGTAAAAGATCGTCTTGCTACTAGTGGTTTGCCATAATTCTTTATGGGGGTGAATGGGACTGTTGGTTTCAATAGCTTTTTTAAAGCAGCTTCTTTTCTAGCAGTGCGAAGACTAAAGTTAATTTTTTTTATTTTTTATACTTGGGCAAGGGCATTAACTAGTTAATAGGACAATGTGTTTAAAGTTGAGAAAAGTTAGAGCAACAATTACAGTATGGTATTAATGCTATTATCTTGTTCTTGAGTTAATCAAAGACCCCAGTTCTTGTTAAAATTTTCTAAAGCCATCAATAATTCTGGCCCTCCACTTGAGCCTTTACAGTACCAGTTAGCAACTTGTAAAGTGTTTAATAAGGACATTAGCTCTTAAATAATTCCAAAGTCAAGTGAATAGACACAGGATTACACTATTAAACTTTGACAGCAGCTATTGCCAAATATTTAAGACCACTGGTTTTCCAAAATAACTACTAAAGCATATAAACATTTGCATACTACTGTACCATGAAAGTAATACCAAGGACTACCAGTGGGTATAGTTACAGAAGGGTACTTGGAATACATTAAAAATTAAGCCTGTAGCCACAACCAGCACCCCACATAACCGAATCTTGTGGGGAAGGTTGTTAACACTGCTACTTGTACTGGTGATTGTTTGGAATAAATGATCACCCTTTACAAATAGCCAAAATGCCACAGTTACCCTTCCTGGCCTTTACTTTAATAAAAGCTTTTCAGTCTCGTGAATATTAAAATACACATTCTCGCTAGCAAATACAGTACAGTACAGTACCTTTATCTGGCAATTGTATGCTTGGCAGTGCAGTTCCTTAAATAGGTTTTCCCACTCCAAAAATGTAGGTGTATGCTAAGACTTGGCACTTTGAACATCTAGCCCAACGTGTACAATTATACTAGACAAGTAATTATTTTCTTTATTTACACAATTTGCAAGTTTAATACTGTACTAGTTATTCCACCTCTTAAACTCTCGGGCCACTTCGCTCTCATCCCTAATTTAAATAGTGGGGGGTTTAGTTAATGGCAACTAGACCCCCAGTGAACCTAATTGGATTTGCATGAACATCACTTAGTTCTGCATGTTGGGTGAAGTAGGTTCAGCAGTTAGAAAATTTAAAGAAAATTTGTAGTATTTCAGGAATTTCAAAGTTATTTTGGTATATTAACTTAATATTTTACTTTAAAATAAGTCATTATACTGTACATGAAAATAGTACTATAGCATGTTGAATTGAAATGGCATGAAACTGGTATAAAAATTGATAATCATTCACTGTTAGGAGAGACGAGCAGGAGTGTATTCATACTAGTTTCATTTTTATCGAGACCCCCCCCCCCCCCCAGTATGCAACCCCACAACAAGCTGACTAACTCCTGAGTACCTGCTCACTGCTAGGTGAACAGGTAGCTTTTGCCTTTTATTAGGTGAAAGGAAATGTGCCCATCCATTTGTCCCGCCTGGGATTCGAACCTGGAATTCTTGATTGTGCGTAGAGAACGAATCTGACTTCACTTCCAGGATCCTTAATATATTCCAGTATAGTATTTAATACACAGTACTGTGTACACTGGCTTCTGGATTTACCTAGCTTTAGAAGAAATTTTTAGGTTAAGCTAATTAAGCATTAGTTCACCCAGGCTGAAATTGGTTTGTGGGTTTTGCACTTGTACACTTTATTCCCACTGTCTTTTATAAGGGGTGATAAGACACTGTAATTGGTTTATTAGATGACCATTTATCATTTTTCAGATGCCCCATGGTGTGGACACTGCAAAGCCCTGGCTCCTGAATATGTAAAAGCTGCAGCAAAATTGGTTGAACAGGAGTCGGAGATTAAATTGGGAAAGGTTGATGCAACGGAAGAAACGGAGCTTGCAGAAGAGCACGGTGTTCGTGGCTATCCCACCCTAAAATTCTTCCGCTCTGGCAAGCCTATAGAATACAATGGTGGCCGCCAAGCTGATGATATAGTTAATTGGCTTTTAAAAAAGACTGGTCCTCCTGCAAAGTCTGTTACATCTGTGGAGGAAGCAAAGGCATTTATTGGTGAAAAACCAGTTGTCATCATTGGATTCTTTAATGACCAGGGATCTGATGCAGCCAAGGAGTTCTTAGCTGCAGCATCTGCCAATGATGACATTCCTTTCGGTATTACATCTGATGCCAAGGTATTCTCAGAATATGGTTTGGAAGCCGATGGTGTGATTCTGTTCAAGAACTTCGATGAAGGAAAGAATGTTTATGAAGGAGAGGTGACAGAAGCAGGAGTAACCAAATTTGTTGCTGCTAACTCATTGCCCCTAGTTGTAGACTTCAATCATGAGACTGCTTCAAAGATCTTTGGCGGCGAAATAAAATCCCATCTCCTAGTGTTCCTGTCTAAGGAAGCTGGCCACTATGATAGTCACTTGGAGGCTTGTAAGAATGCTGCTAAAGGATTCAAGGGCCAAGTTTTGTTTGTGACAATAAACACTGATGAAGAGGATCACTCGCGCATCTTGGAGTTCTTCGGCATGAAGAAGGAAGAGGTAATTTTCATTATGAATTTGCCAGATTTTAAAATTGGAAAGCAATTAAAATTGTATTAAAATGGTGGTCCATTTGATTACTCAGTATTGCTATACTGTACTGTAATTTGACAGTACAGCATAAGTGATTTATATTTATAAAATTGAGTAAATCTAGAATGTTGAATAGCAAGCCACTTTGGGGTTGATATGACTTAATATTGTTGGTGTTGTTTAGGTACCAGGCCTCCGCATAATCAAGTTGGAGGAAGATATGGCCAAGTACAAACCCGAGACATACGACCTGAGCGAGAGTGCATTGGTCAGCTTCGTACAGAGCTTCTTGGAAGGAAAGCTGAAGCAGCACCTCCTATCTCAGGAGCTCAATGATGACTGGGACAAAGAACCTGTCAAGGTTAGTTTTAATTTAAATTTGTAGTGACTTTTCTGTGAAATGCTAATTTCTCGTGTAGTTGTCCATGCAGTTAATGTCTAGAAATGCAATAATATAAAATTTAAATTGTTATTTTTAAGCACTCGGTTTGTACTTGTATAAACTCTGCAAATTTTTTTTCATTTTTTCAGAATTTCCCATAAAGGAGATTTCTGCCAATTTGTAGATCATTAAAGAGACATCCCTCCCTTCCCACCCAACTTGTTTCCTTGGTGTAAGGTAACAGGTGTCGGTTAACTTACATTAGATAAAAGGGTTTACAATATTTTGTACAGAAAGTTTTGCAGTGTAAATGCCTTCTTATATTGGGTATATTGAAATGGAGTAAAAATGTAAATTTAAAAGTTTTCACTTTGGTTAAGCGTGTACACTACCCTGCAATTTTATAATCTATATTGGTCCTATCAAAATTGGCTGGGTCTAAATATTATGGAAAATTGTGTGCTTGACTTCACAGTATCCATGAGTGGTAATTTCCTATACTAGGGTGCTGCTAAGGTCTTCAAATGTAGAATGGCATTTTCTTGGATTATTTACCATGTTTGGACCTTTTTAAACAGGTTCTGGCAGCATCAAACTTTGACGAAGTAGTACTTAATAAAGAGAAGGATGTCTTGGTAGAGTTCTATGCACCATGGTGTGGCCATTGCAAGCAGCTGGCTCCTATCTATGACCAACTGGGAGAAAGATACAAGGACCACGAGACCATTGTTATTTCTAAAATGGATGCAACTGCGAACGAGCTGGAGCATACGAAGATCCAGTCATTCCCTACCCTTAAATTATACAAAAAAGAAACTAATGAGGTAAGTGAAATTATAATAATCTTTCGGGAGTTTTCTTACAAAAAAATGGTAGCTTGAGTTTAAGATTTGGTAGTGCTGAAATGAATTGGATAATGGAAAACCTTCTTGCCTTATTCTTAATCTATTTGTTCTAATTTAACCATTTTGCCACATTCATGTGTGGTGGTTAAGGTTTAGTAATGAATAAATTGCAGCAAGATGATGTTACCATATGGTGGGATTGAACCCACATCCCTAGACATAGGAGGCACATGCACCAGACTGAACCATGAGCATGAAAGCATCTTGACTAGAAGTATTAGCAACCAGTAATGGTTATGAAGGCAAAATGTGTAGACTTGCCATATACAATGCTAACCAGCACATGGGTATCTTTTGTCCCACCATGGGCAGTGTTAGATCTATCGTACATGAGAGCTACTGAACAATTGACCACAAAAGGTGATTGCAGTGTTAAAATGTAAATCTAGCCTACATGCATAACTACAAATGCTTACATTTGTCCTATAGTGCATTTCGATATGTTCATGTATACATTATATTAATGTGCATTTACAAAAGTGAAATGCATTTCCGATAAGCTTCAAAAAAATTTTGACCTGTGTGTACGCATGTGTTCCCCTGATCGAGGTGCCACATTCTTCTAGCAAAGCGTCTCGTGGGTGAAAGATTGTAGACAGAAGTGTGCACTAGCTTCCTGGAGCCACAGGCTGGGAAATTTGGTTGCCCCCCTGGGCATTCTTAGTGAGCAGTAGTGGAGTCTCACTCTGACACCTTGCCATGTTTTATTGCAGTTAGCGGTGGTGGTGGTATTATCGCCTACCCAGGAACTAAGCAAAGAAACAGTTGCTCAAATGATTGCATTAAAGCAGTGGTTCCCAAACACTTTACAGGCCTTACCCATTTTTCAGTGTCCCCTACACTGTGTTAATAAGATTTACCTTCTGGTATAACTTGTACATTGACTCAACTTATCGTCCCCTACATATTGCAAAAAGGTCCTCAGGGGGCCATGGGACCCCCTAGTTTGGGAACCAGTGGTGTAAATAGATTCAGGTACAAAGTATAAAATGGAGGAATGTTTGAAAGCAGTTTCTGTATAAATCTGTGTTTCTTGAACCTATTATTGTGGTTTCTGGTACACCCAATGCTCGTCTTTAAAGGGTTTGAAATAGATTAAAGCAAAAAGCTAAAGACTTTTGCAAAATGTCTGATATGTGACTGTTGGTGGTCATCTTATGTCACCTCGGCCAACCACATAATCAAATCCTATAGTTGCTCTGGCTCTGTCTATTTTATAGTTTTTTCACATTACCTTGTGATGTGCTAGCATTGGTTTCCTTTTGTGTATAGACAATTTCTGAATTCTTGATTACTTGATAATGCCAAATGATATGGTTAAATGTTTACCGTTTGGCACTGGCAATTAAACATTTAATAGAAAATTTACTAGTTCATTATAGAAGGTTCATTCTGAACATTTTGACAATTCATAATTATAACGTCAAAGTCACTTAGGAAGGCAAAGGGCACCTAACTTCTTGGACAGTGTAAAGGTGTTAATATGAACTATCTAACCTCATTTAACATTGGGGTAGGTCCCTGAAAGTCACACCTTTCTGGTTGTGAAACCAAAAATCATAGGCTTGGTACTAAAAGGGTTATATTGCTAGGGTATTGGGGAAACTTGTTTGGGACATTCATTTACAAAAGTGTTGTACCTACCTAGCACCCTTGGCTTTGTTTCTAGTGGTGTCTTCCTTTGGCCGTTCACTAGTATGTTACAGACCATTTACTAGTTACCTTGTCAAAGGAAATTTTGTTGCTAGAATAGAGCTTGGTGTTTAAAAACACCAAGCGATGTTTGTCCATGATCGGCTGGCAAGATGTATTTGTTTTGGCAGCAGTTAAAATTACTTTATTTGATGTTGCTGTGATTTTTATTACAGTACAATGTGTATATAATGGTTTTTAATCGGTAAATAGCTTGGGTTTGTGAAGTGTTCATCAATATTGTTTGTTAGTACTCTTATGGTACAAAACTTTTTCTGCATGTACCATAAGCTTAAAGATTTTCAGTATCCTACATTGGAGAACATTAAAAGGGGGACTGACTAGCTGATAAATAAATTTGATGCTGTAAAAAGGAAATCGGGTTGATTGGGGGCAAACAAGGTTCACCTGTACTTTACAGAAAGTGTTCTGAGTACCTTCAGAAAATGGTGCACAAATAAGGTCACTTCTGCCAAATTAATGCAATTGTCTTGCCAAGTTTATTGCAAGACTGGAGATCATAATACACTATTTAAAAAAAATTGATAGTAATAAATTGAGCAAAATGTGCTGGTAATAGGTAGAATGCTGTATGCAATAGTCGCACATTGTTGATCCACATCTCTGTACCGAAAAACATTTGTTTTATTACTTAATCTTTTAAATACAGTACTACAGTATTAGTATTTAGAATTTTTTTTTTTTTTTTCTTTCCACATACATTGTTATAAAATACTGAAAGTGTATTTGTAGGTTACAGTGGTGTAGTAAATTAAAGATTTAAAAATTTATTATTGAAATTTTTAGGTTTTGGTCAATGTAAGTACAATTATAGTTCTGTTAATTTAAATTGCTTTGATAATTAAACATAATAATGTAAAAGGTAGACTTGTCAGTTTTCAGTTTTTGGTGTTTCTAAGTTAGTGTTACCTTTTAGAGTAACTTAGTCATAAGGAATATTACAGGTACTTAAATTAACCACGTATAAAAATCATAGGTTGTTGAATACAATGGAGAACGCACTTTGGAAGGAATTTCCAAGTTCTTGGAAAGTGGGGGTGTATATGGCCAGGCTCCCCCAGAAGACATGGAGGTAGGAAACTGTAACAATATCAAATGGATGCATGCAGCCAGCCAGTGGTGTTGCTCTTGGTCTCGCTCCTTGTAGGTTGACCTGTCTAGCAAGAGTTCCAGACTTTATAGCAGACTTTAGACAGTATTGCTTCAAAGGTTTAAAGTACAGTGTGCGTGTGTGCTGGAACTTTAGCTAGACAAGTCTCGTATGCACTGTTCTATCTATGCTTGTAACTTACCAACTTCATTTTGGCTTTCCTTCCATAGGTTGTAGATTACAATGGAGCACGGACTCTGGAGGCCCTAACTGATTTCCTTGAGGGCAAAAGCACTGCTGAGGAGGTACATAACCTTTTGAATTAAAGAGCATGTCTAATAGATAACTTCCCCCATCTTGCATGACTTATCCTTTTAATTTTTTTAATTTAACTATACATCCCTTGCTTTATTCATACCTGCTTAACCTTTTTACAACAGCCATTAATGAATTGCTTCATGCCTTTTACTTACCCAAATTGTTTTAAGTTGCTATTGCTATACAATATTTAATTTGTGTAGTTGAATAATAACTAATTATCTTTTTCCTAGCAGGATGAAGAGGAGGTCGATGAAGAGGGTGATGTGCCTGCTAAAGATGAACTTTAAGTTTATTTTGGTGCCGACAATGAAGGTGAACAGTAGTCCCTGAAGTCCGACCAGCGGGTTGACTAGTGTTTATCTGCATTGTAAATGTTATAAACCATCATAAGGAACCCCCAGTACAGTATTACAAATTGTATATTGCCTTATTAAAAAATAGCAGAGGCTATGAAAGTTAATTGATTCTAATCATGACCTAAGAATCCAGTGAACCTAAAATTAGGGGGTACCTATCCTAAGAAGTTACGTTCCAGGTAACCTCTCGTATTAATGTTAAATGTTAATTTTATTTCATTTAAATTGTAATGTATGAGCAAAGTGGTATGCAAAGACTATTTTTTCTATGCTTTGATGTATTTTGATCACATTCCTTAATTTTTTTACGTGGTAAATTTAACCCTTGTGACTGGAATAGGGAAAGGTACAAATCTAGTTAATTTGGGGAATTGTAACCACAAGATCAGGTGGCAACATAGCCACTGGCTGTGTCAAGTAGTCAGTGGATGATAACTAATAAATGCCAATCAGTGTTGCACAGACATGTGGTTATGTACATCAATGATAGCTTTAATGTTGTCTTCCACGGACAGTGTTCTCCCTGTACTAGGCACAATGCTTCCTGTCGCAGTGTGTTGCGCGTGTGTGTGTTGGGAGGTTCTGAGGGTCCTTGAGCAGTGTATGAACTGTAGCAGTGACTTTTCCAATAAAACCAGAAAGATTATTTTTACTTTGCAATTTGTCCTTGATACAAGTAAAGAAAACTTGCTCTATTGATCTTGAATTGTTCTTGATTTTAAACACTTAAGAAAAACGATCATAAATGATCTAAAACTACAGAAAAAGTGAGTGCCTGAATTTCATGTAGTGAGTCTGTATTACTCTCCTAAAATTCTCACCTTTGAAATCATTTACTGACAACCCAGTGCCTGCCTGCATTTGTCATGGAATGGTTAATGCTGCGAGGGGAAAGTGTCGGAGGAAGTTGTAATGAATACAGGGAAGCTTTGAATGCCATTCATAAATGGTCATTAGATTTTACTGCAACCAGGAAAACCTGTTAACATGGGGAGCAAACCACTTAAACATGTCTTTGGCAAGGCATATAGAATTGCTTGAAAACAGATGTATAAAAAACTACTTAAATTGTATAGTAACATTCTGATTTATTAAATTTGATATTAAATGTAGCAGATATGGTTTAAATAGGTGTAGTATGTGAGAATGGTAAAGTAGGGCACAAGGTCACATGCAGGCAAATGGGTAGAGTAAAGCTTGTAATTTTTTATCCCAAGCTAAATTGTCAAATAGCAAGTCTTTAAAGGTGTGTAGCTTAGAGGTTGTTTCAGATACTTAAGCAAATAATGTGGAAAGCCATGTAGTTGGTGAAAAGTAAAAATTGAGCACTAAAAGTGGGTTGTGGTCGTATCAAAATGTTAGTAAATTTTTGCCTAGTACAAAATATTTAACCTCCAGCCTCATGGAAGTCTGTTTCTTTGGTTCCAAATTCATTGTAGTGTGGTTTTCTGTACAACTTTGCCCGAGGTATGTTAAATGTTTTGCAGTCACTTGTTTGCCATGGATGAATCTTTGAAGATTTCTCATGGATTAATATTTTTTGAAGATCCAAACATAGGTAGTGGGGGAAACGCTATTCGAGAAAAGGTTACTTAGATAGTAGAGAACTTTTCTATTAATAAGTAGCTGGTGGATTAGAGTACAGTACTGTAATGTTAAAAAGTAGATGCTGATACCTAAATGCCATAATCCAAATGTTTTAACTGTCCTGAAAATAACTACAAATGGAGCCAAAGTGTCGAGCCAAGCTATACGCAAGATTCTAAATAATTTGGGTTACAAAACACTAAATGCGTGGAAAGTATGCTACAGCTTTGAGTGCAGCCTGAGGATGGGTTGCACAATTCCACATTCAAAATGCTGAATTTATAAACTGCAAGCAAATTTCCCTATAAAATTTAAAGGTATTAAATTGTGTAGTCAACAAAAAGCTATTTTGGCTAAAAATTTGCTGGTAACCAAAGTCTTTAAATGGCTTGCTAAATTACAGATCATCCACTGGCTAACAAGTTCAAGTTCAAGTATGTTTATTGAGATAAGCAATAAATACATCTCAAAGGGATAGAGTAGCTTAGGCTATTTCTACCCCCCTCTACTTCAAGTCCCTCAAGGGGCGCACAAATTAACTCCACTGGCTAACATATGTTTAAAGACACCCTAATGTTTGCCCATGGTAAGTGGAAAACTACTAAAGGCACATTAGCCTTTGACTTTTTTTCTTGAATTGGACTAGGGAGTAATTTGTGACAGAATATCCTGCAGCAGTACTGCATAAAGTACACAAAGAAACCACATTAACATGTGCTCAGAATACCAAGTGTGCTGTTAGATCTACATGATTTGCTTATTCTTCCCACCATACCAAGTCTTATCGGCCTGATGCCTGCCTTTGATAACTGTCCCTGGGTAATAAGCATTATTTTCTAACTGCTTATGCCTCCAGAAGTATAGAAAAGTTCTGTTAACTTTGCTTTGGGCAGGTTATGGAAGTAGTCTTGAAAGACTGCGAACTCGTCTGTTCAATCTTACCCTGGGGCCAGGTAACCGCAAGAGGGCATTACTTGCAACAGTTTCCCCATTCGCACTGTACTCCATGGCTTACAGTACCCTGTTTCCTTCTGTATAACTATGCCTTAATCCATCTTGGGATAAGCCTCTCAATATACTCCGTTACTCGTGTTATGACGTACACCATCAAAGGCTTTGTCCAAGTCAGGGGCATACAACATTGCAAGTTTAGCAGCTGCCTTACATGAGTGAGCCCCAATCCTTAGTTTCATATCCATAGGGGTACCAGTTTATTGATGAATGACACTACCGTTTTAATTTCTAGTCTGCAATTTACAAAATTGCCCTCGACAGTTATCCAATTTCAATTCCAATCACTTTCAACCACTTGTAGGAAAAATACCAGGTATGATTAGACTTCTTCCATCATTCCTGACTAGCTCTGTCCTGTCCTTTTGCATTAGTGACTCCAAGGTTTTCGTATTCTGGTATTTTTAGTGGCAGCAAGACGAATAATGGGTTTCTCACTACCAGCCAAAATATTACCCATACTATTAATATCCCAAATTCCCGCTACTGGAAAGTAAGACCTTAATAAAATTTTCATATCCCTAACACAACTCACTCCACGTTTCAAACTTGTGAATCTCCAACACTAGATTTTCGTTCCTCCATTTTGTGCTTGTCATACCTTGCAGGTAAATTATTACCTACCTAAAACAATTCATTGGCGGTCTTTACTATAAGAATGACAGGCTCTCATAGTCCACCTATGATTTAATACTGCAAGTAGATGTGTTGAAGCTGCCCGATGTCCTGTCTTGTGGAGATTCGTGTTTCCTCAACAGCTTTAGTTCCTTGTATAACTTGCACACCTGCTCTCAAAGCATTACGCAATTCATTTGTCACTCATTAATCTCCAAGATGAATTTAGCAACTTACCTACACAGTACTACAACCCGTCCTCAGACCAAGTTCATTCTAACCAGCGGTCGAACCCAAAGACGCATTCATCAATTTTAACATTTTGATCATTCAAAACATAACTTTTCTCGAATATAAATTAATATTATATATTAGCATATCATACATATTTAGGCACTGGTTAGGTTAGGTGTTTAGGTTCTGTTACCGATTATTTGTAGTACGTGGGTAAAGTATTTGCTGCGTTGTAGTTCGAACAAAATTCGTCAGTGTAGCACTTGTTCCCGAAGTTTTCGGACGTCATCAGTTGAGTCGTGTGTAATCCCTTTTTCATTCATACAGGGTTTGGTGGGTTCATGGAATGGACTTTGTGTAGAGGACGGGCTGCAGTACTAAGACGTTGCCCATGATAGCTACCTGTTGACCTCATGTTTTTAGATTCAACTACTTTGAACAAAATTTCCATGTAGCAGGATGGGCTAAGGTGAGCCCGTCGTACTTACCTGGCACAGGAGATGTGCCGCCAGTGTTTGAACTCTTGTCTGAAGATAAAAATTTTGTACCTAGATTGTAACCTTTTTGTTGAATTGTCTGAATATCTATGTACCTAGTCATAAAAATATTCGTGTACAAATCTAGAATCATACTGCATCTGTATAGGAAGAAGTGTATGTTATCAACCAGAATGTTCGGTTATATATCAAGTGTTTGTGATGTGTATCTATATACAGTATATGAATACGTTGTACTTAGCGGGGTAAGAATAGCTTCAGCTACCTCATTCCTTTGTGTATATTTATACCTCGATAAACTTGTTTAAATTCAATTTAAACTGAGCTTGGGAATGACGAGTGGCGATTTGAATCTACCCTATAACAGCTGTACATATTTCAGCCGATAGTGATCAGTTTTAATTATTCACGCCAGGTGCTTTACAAGTAATGGGACATCTGAAAAACAATTTATAAAAAATCTTTGCATTTAAAGGTTCTCCACTTATTTAATAGTCAAATAGTATTCAGAAAGTAAAGGAAATGTGTTAAACACTGGAATTTTTTAATCAATCTGTTTAGCAGGGACACAGCCCAAAGTTATGGGAACTTCATCTCTAAAGGTTAAAAAGAAAGAAAGAAAGGAATTCAGAATTAAGGTGGCATATTGCTGACAAGATGTTCATTATTGAAAGAGCTGCAAGGGTTATATAGACTGAATTAGTGATTTTGCTGAAAGGCTGTTTGGAATTTAGTGGGGCAGCTTAGTAAATCTAGGGAGCCACTGTTCAAAAGAGATTATCTTAATGAATGATAAATCTTGCCTGGGTACAAGGATGATAAACTTTGCATAACAAGCCTGATAATTCGTCTATGACAGGATGATAAAATAAACAAGACAGAATGGTGGGCAAGCACGCAACCAATTATCAAAAGGCGGCACAAAGCCAGCAAGATTATTTAAGCACGAGCATGATGTGCAGACATGTTTTTGGATTGTCAAGAGAGCTACACAGGACCCCACGCAAGACAAATTTATAAGGAATGATGAAGGTTGCTCCAGTGAATAAGTCTTTCCAAGACAAAGACGACAACAAGAGGATAGATTTCAGGAAGGTGACCAGCAAAAGTATCACAAGTCAGTATTAATACCTATCTTCTTCCCTATACTGTATATTTTGCAAGTGATCTTTCAGAGGGTATTCATTCTATACTGATTTAATTCTTGTTTAAATTTATTGTGCTCCTGCTACTTTGTAAACAGAATACTGTACTCAAATTTACATTTGGCGATTAGCCAACTGTTATACAAGATCCTGGATAGACGATGTTTTCAAAATTAAATTTTCTATTTTATTTTTTAGTTAATGAATAATTAGCAAATTAAATTATTACTAGTTTATTTATAAAGCTACATTACCTAACTCCAAAGCATTTTAACTCATTTAATTATATAATACTTGTTCAACAAAACATCTATTCTGTAGTTTGTCCCCTATTTTTCCACAGTGCTTCATTGGCTGTCTTCCAACATTCTAGTAGTTCTACTATTTCTAGTGACTTGTTATTTTGTCATAGTAAGCAGCCTGCAAAAGGTTTCTTCTATAAGTATCCATGGAGAGGTCTTGTCCCACTGCCTTAGCCATTTCCAGTTCCAGCAGATGCCTTCTTACTTCATTTCTGATCACCTCAAAGTCCTCCAGTTCTGCTTAACCTGACACTGTCCCACCTGGCATGTCTCCTTATTCTATTGTGAAGACGAACTGAAATATCTTGTTGAGAGACTCGTATATCATTCTCTGTAACCGTATCCAACCCTATCTTCAGTTTTATTACTTAACTGTTGTTTTCCTCCTATGGTAAAAGTTTGGGGTTTGTGTGTGTAATTGTGCTTCTCAACTTTCAGTCAACTGGTGTATAGGTTCCATTAACTTATCGGACCTTATCATATCTATAGTTGAAACTGTATAGAATCTGCCTATTCCTCATTTCTTAATGCAGTCCATTAATTCACTACTCTGACCACGAAAAACTTCTTTAAAATGTCTCTGTGACTCATTTGGGTACTCAGTTTCCAGCTGTCTCCGTGTTCATGTATGTTTGAACATGCTGTATGGTATGTCTACTATATCTGTCTCCATGCTATATAGTATGTGTTTGCAGATGATGAGTCACAATAACGTGACTGAAGATATGATGTCTTTATTGCCCTATCACCATCATAGTATAGTATGTCTTTATTGCCCTACTAGTTCCCCGTAGAATTTTGTATGTGGCATCATGGCTCTCCCCTTTTATTTGCCTTCTGTGTCGATATGTAAATGTGTATGTCTGCTTTAGTATGTATGGATGTATTAATGCAGTTACAAACCCATTAAGATTTCAACTTAGATTCAACAGAGCAGAAGTTGTTAATCACATATGGCAAAATTTTAGTGAAGCGACCATACGAGTCATAAATACTCATACTCCGCCTAAGTAAAACAGAAACAAGCCACAATTTAGTGGGCCAGCCAAAAAAAAAAAACTTTTTGTACCAGCAGGATCGAGTTGTTATAGTTCTTAGATACTGACTCGCAACCAATTTTTATCTACCCAAAACTACTATATATTTATCTCACATACACATCCCCAGGATGCCACAAACAACAACTGTCTAACTCCCAGGTAGTTATTTACTGCTAGGTGAACAGAGGCATCAGATTAAAGAAACTCCGTTTTTTTTGTCTTGGCTGAGAATCGAATCCGGGCTCCTGTATTGTAAGTCGCAGACTCTGATTACTATTGTGCGTGTGTGTGTGTGCATGTGTTCGTTTGTACGTGTTCGTATCTACGCACGTGTACGTGTTTATATCTACGCACGTGTACGTGTTTGTACTCACCTAGTTGTGCTTGCGGGGGTTGAGCTCTGGCTCTTTGGTTCCGCCTCTCAACCGGCAATCAACAGGTTGTGTGTACGTACGCGTGCCTGTTTGTATCCACGCACGTGTACGTGTTTGTATCTACGCACGTGTACGTGTTTGTGTGTACGTACGCGTGCGCATCCAGCAGCAGCATGACCCGGGGTAGTAAGGAGACACCAGGGGCCCCTCACCAGAGCGTAGTCAGTGTTGGGTCCCGCACCACTCTCTCCCGTGCTCCGGGGCCACCAGTGTCTTATTCCGCTTCTCAGATTTACTTGCCCCTCGCTGGCGTTGAGGTCCCCCAGTGTTTGGGTGACGGGTCTAAACCTACGGTAAGTGTTATAATACATCTGGATAGTTTTACGAGATTATATTTGCTGTCGTATAAGGCGTACCTCCGTTTCAATCCCAGTATCATTAGGATTTTTTTGGTGGAAATCAAGAATTTGAGTATATTTCATCATACATTTACTGAAAGTGATTTTAAAGCTCAGCTTCCCTATTAGCATGTTCTTTCGTGTGAGCTACGACCTAATGGGCACAATATCAAAGTGTTAACGTTAATTCAACGTTATTTCAACGTTGAACTAGAGTTGCTCATGGATATTGTGCTCAATGGGGGCATGACGCCTAAACTTTGTTCTAACAATGAGACGAATCCATCGGCAAGTACGGTAATTAAGTCAGTGTAATATGACTCAAATTGTATGACCTGGATTACATGGCCAAAGATTGTATGATCTGGATTGCATGGCAAGACTGTATGATCTGGATCGCATGGCAAGACTGTATGATTTGGATTGCAAGGCAAGACTGTATGATCTGGATTGCATGGCTAATACTGTATGATCTGGATTGTATGGCAAGACTGTATGATCTGGATTGTATGGCAAGACTGTATGATCTGGATTGTATGGCAAGACTGTATGATCTGGATTGTATGGCAAGACTGTATGATCTGGATTGCATGGCTAATACTGTATGATCCGGATTGCATGGCTAATACTGCATGATCTAGATTGCATGGCAAGATTGTATGATCTGAATTGCATGGCTAATACTGTATGATCCGGATTGCATGGCTAATACTGTATGATCTGGACTGCATAGCAAGATTGTATCATATGGATTGCATGGCCAAGACTGTATGATCTGGATTGCATGGCCAGGATTGTATGATCGGAATTGCATAGCCAAGACTGTATGATCTGGATTGTATGGCCAGCATTGTATGACTATGCCTCAATACAGTGAGTTGCGCAATCATTGCTATTGACACAGCACATCCGGGACCAAGTTTAGGAAATTCGTGTTTGTAATATATGGAATTTGTTAACCAACCTCGCCTATATTAACCCTGTATACCTTGAGAGATGAGGTTGTACGTCCATGTATACTATGAACACTCGGAACTAACGTGGAATTGGACCAGTTTGAACCGGCCGGCGCATATATGTTATTTGAGATGCAGCACCCTAATTTCTAATATAAAACGCCAGGATTCAGCTTGAGTGTGTGTGACAGCTCTCATCCACGTCAGAGTCAATAACCTTGATAACTTTCACTGTGTGTTCGCATGTGCTTAGGAATCCTCTTTATATGGCTGTGGTAAATTTCACACATAGCCTAAAAAAATAAACAAATATTGCCCACCATCCGAAGTGAACGTTGCTTTGGTGTGAAAGCGTGTAAGGAATTTTAAGGTATTGTTTATCAATATGAATAACGGCAGACTTTAGTTAAACTAAAGTCTGCCGTTATTCATATTGATAAACAATACCTTAAAATTCCTTACACGCTTTCACACCAAATGATAGATATATCAATAAAGTTGTAATATGATAAAGAAAATTATACTAACTTCTAGCAAAGAATATAATAAAGCAATATCAGATTTGTGAGTGTAAGATATTCGTATAATTAAGGGGGTTCACCTCAACTTGTTAAGGGAGACGATGGCTGGTTTAAGCCAGTTACTGCAGCTGCCCACCTGCCCGCCTCCCCTACACTCCTGTAGGTAACTTACCCGGCAATAAACGCACACACACGTTAGCTATCCAATTATTTTCCTGGGCGTCCAATGAGTCTTATCTTAAGAATTGTCACAATCTTAGCGAAAGTTTGCCGGTTCAATGGCCTAGATCAGAAAAAGAAATCATTAATTCGTGGGAATCAATGATTTCATACGTGGGAATTTGACGAGAGCCTAATGCTTAAACGCTTATAAGTGTTTCAGCAGCTTAATGTTTACTGCACAATTCTTACTAGTCTTAACATTGGTTGTAGGGAAAAGAGTAGCCTGAACAGTTAGCTTTCATAATTAATGTATACGTGGGTCTAGGTTAACGCGTCCTGCGTAAGCAAACTTTATTTTTGCATTAGCAAATTAACCTCTTGCGTAAGGAAACTTTCTCCTTACATAAGTAAACCTCTCCCCTTACGCAAGGAAACTTTTCTATTAGATAAATAAACCTAGCTTACATAAATAAACTATCTCCTTTAGGTAAGTAAACCCAACTTACATAAGAAAACTCTATCCTTACGTAAGCAAGCCCCCCTAACAAGGAAATTCTCCCCTTAAAAAGTAAACCTCCCTTTTACATAACCTTTTATATAAGGAAACTCACCTTTTACATAAGCAGACTCTCTTACCAACTTACATAAGTACAAAAACATGTAACTGGTCGTATCCTGACTGTAGCAGATCGCAAAAAAAACAAAAAAACTGGGTTGCAAAACCTTGGTCTACTTGTTAGACAAGTTAGGTTCAAGCCACCCCATGGTCATTAGTATAAGGGATTAAAGTAATTAAGTCTCAAACTATATAGGAGTCTTGAGTGATCTTCACTAGTGAGAAAGCACTCAAAAAATCAACAATTAAATCATTGCTCAAGAGACGAATAAATAAGTCAGTTTGTTTAAGCTGGTGAAAGTAAGTTTCTCCGAAGGGTTTTTACAGTGACTCAACCTTTACGACCACTGTCAAAATCTCCGTATAGATCACAGTGGTGAAGTGCTCCAGGTGACACATGTCTACCAAGCTTATACATATATACACACATGAATACTCAGCCACGCGTGAATAACTGCAAGGTAATGATGACAGATGCTGATGCTCCAGCCCGTCCTCCTGAGATTCCCCTACGTCAAGAAACTGTCGTACTAAAGTGCCATTATCCTAACCTACCAGAGGACCCAAAACAGAAAACGGGACAGTACGTCAATTTCGCGAGCCGCTGCTATTTTCTAGTACGACAATTTTTGGTCTTAGGTAAAGTATACGTCAAAATGCGACGCTTTATTTGGAGGACGGGTTGTCGCAGGTACACGAGATGAACAGTCGTCTGGAAGAATTGGACTATAAAAGACAGACAGATAAATTCATCGAAATAAAAAAAAACCTCTTCAGAAGACCTCGATAATCCCAAACAGTTTTCATGTCCTCGACAATTGGAAGTCAAAGCATACACGAACTAGGCAGTTATGGGTAAGAGGCAGAGTCCAGGCACTGCAGCTCTATTCCGCACAGTTGAGTATACATAATTGGAAGCTGAACACCCGAATGAATGTGTGGTTGCTGATCTTGTCATTCACGTATGTTGATGTGTTAATCAGGGCATGTAACGGTCGCTTATGGAAGCATGTAAGTCGAGGAGGACTCTGTGCCCCGGAGCCGGAGGTCCAAGCTAGGTTCAGCCTCGCACTTGCTCATAAAAATAGTTTTCCTTGATCGGGGATAAAAAGCCTGCTAGACATCAATTCCCCTAGCAATCAACTGGTCATTTCTGTCGCAGAAATTTATTGCTACATGAATTCAGACATCAAATCTCACCTTGCCCGCGAATCGAACCCTGGACCAAGCGGCTGTGAACCCAATGTGCTTGCTCCTAAACTACAGGTCATCCACTTCCTTCTCACCCCGTTGGGGTCTTACCTACATTGCATAATATTCATTAGTATGATGGTAGCGAGCGAGCACAATGAACCAGATTTCTGAAGAAGTGAAGGCAAACTCCGTACACGGATTAAAATACAAATGCCGTGTGGTTGCGAAGGATAAACACCAGGGGCCAGATTCACGAAAGCACTTACGCAAGCACTTACGAACCTGTACATCTTTTCTCAATCTTTGGCGGCTTTGTTTCCAATTATTAAACAGTTAATGAGCTCCGAAGCACCACGAGGCTGTTTATAACAATAACAACAGTTGATTGGGAAGTTTTCATGCTTGTAAACTGTTTAATAATTGGAAACAAAGCCGCCAAAGATTGAGAAAAGATTTATAGGTTCGTAAGTGCTTGCGTAAATGCTTTCGTGAATCTGGCCCCAGTCTTTTAATGATTAAGGTCAATCCCCCACAAATATTGATTTCGCATCTTGTGGAAAACAAAAGTAGGTAACTGAAAGAATCCAAAGGTTTGGAAGAGCTCTCGAGGAAAGAATGACCAAAGGGGATAATAATAATAGCTACATACAGACTATGACTACAGAGGGGAATAGACAAGGTGTACAAGGACAACCTTTTTAAAGTGAAAGAAAATAGGGCAGGAAAACATGGAACACGCAGCAAATGAGTCGTAAGAAAATATTTGTATTCCTGAGCGGACAGCAGCAAGGGGAATACAAGAAAAGAAGCTGTGGAAGACTCATGTAGACGCAGCTTCAACCGCACATTATGACAGATAAATGATTGATTGATTTATAATTTCTCAGTCACCATGACTGAGAATATATATATTTTATATTTACTATTTACAGATAAATATGTATATTTACTTTTATCGAAGGGATATAAGAGATCAAATAGTATCATCGTTGTCCTCGACGATCTCCGAGGTCATAACATAAGAGATTGTGATGAATAAATGTATAATATCATACGTATTTGTGATGCAGATTCATCAAGATGAGGTGGATGACAGTGTGGGTGAGAGTGGCGGTGTGGGCGGCGGTTGCCGTGTCCAGTGGGCGGACCTTCAGTGGAGCAAGTGTGGGCGTGGCATGTGACTCCATGCAGCCGGGCCACCTGTCTTTGGGCGCCCAGACCTCTTCGCCTCCCTACGGCATCTTCATCACTCCCAGAAATACTTCTTATTATGGTGAGGCTGCCTGCTGCTTCTACCGATTCATATATTAATTACTACTGTTTTTGCTGCATACTGTTATACACCTACTACTACTGTTAATAATAATAATAATAAATGATAGTATAATATTGTTAATATAAAGCATAAAATACAGTACATATAAGTATGGCAATTGATATACAATTTTAGTAAACAAGTATTTTTAATAATAATGCTAGTAGGCTATCACTAACAACAATAATAAAGACAGTAATGATAACAAAACATAATGTGATTGACGACATCCTACAGTGACGGTGTATGGACAGGGAAACCGAGAGTTCAAGGGGTTCCTGTTGCAAGCCAGGGACGAGAAGGGCCAGCGTGTAGGTCGCTTCACTAAGGTGCAGAAGCCCGGCAGAATCATCGAGTGTTCCTTCGACGGGGTGAGTAAAGTCGCTCCAGGGAGAATCCTTGGACGGGATGAGTAAAATTGTTCCAGTGAGAATGCTTCGACGGGGTGAGTATAGCCACACAATAAAGGTTCCTTCGATGAGGTCAATAGGGATGTTCTTTTGACTTGTAAAAACGGTCCTCCTTTCTCGACAACTCAATTTTGATATCCCCTTTGATTCGTTTTCTGTGTTTTATTTCCGAAATTAAATTTACTGTCTTTTTGAGTTTAGTTCATTTATTATACGCCCCTTATCCATTCTGTGGGCAGTAGAGGAAGAGGCTACAGAGGCACATGATGGGCTCAGGAACCGAACATCAAAACTCATTTAGCTTAACAAGTTATAGTCTTGATAAACTGATTATACAGCTTAATGCATATATCAACAATGAGTTTGAGAACGACCATATGTAGGCTTTAAGATAAATTATTTAATTTGCAGCACCACCACCGTGCCCTTTGACCCATGTTTATGCATTAATCTTTAAAACTTTTAGTAAAGTTTAAGCCGAAATTAATTTTCCAAGCAATAAATAACGATAAATTGTTGAATTGTATGTTAATTACATTTTGGATGAATATATTATGCGTCGACTTACTTTAATTGCTTTACATTATTTTAAAGTGCACCTGTAGGTAATCTGTAACATGTTATGGGTAACTATCATAATTGTTGGGTCGTTCAGGGCGCCGTCCAGCACAGGAGAGGGGACTCTAAGACCCAAGTGACGGCCAGGTGGGAACCTCAAGGCTTCAAGGGTCAGATGCAGTTCAGGTAAGGTCAAGATTAAACCCTCACCTTGGTGTTCTTACTGGTACACATTTAGACACCAAGATGTACTCTCACATGCGTCGTTAGCTATTGATATATGTAGATTAATCCAGAAGAGTTTGCATGGTACCTGGCGCGAAGCCTAGTGTAATAATCTCCTGTGATAAGGAACTCAAACGTCGGTAAAGTTAAAACAAAAACAAATAAATGGGTACAAGGCTATAGGTTGGACTGTAATAGGTATACCTCACTCCCCCGTAGCCACTGTTTGGTAAACGTTAAGTAAACTGTTTGCAAACGTCATTTTCCCGTTGAGGTGGAGAATGTGTTATCTTCTTCCCTAAATGCGCCCCACTCCTTGAGTCAATCTAAATAGGACAGCACCCATCTGTGTGGGATAAACCCTATTTTGATTATTTTGACAGGTAGAACACCAGTGTTCGCTTTTACTTTGTTAATATGGTGAGTTGAGCATGAAGGTCTATGTATTTGTCGCATCTAGAGTTGGGTAGACCGTAAATACCAACCTATTTAATTTAATAATTTATTTTAATATTTACAATGAAACAATGTATTTTGAAATTTTGGTGAGTGAAACTTGCGTTCTTGCAAAATCACAAACAATATTAATCCACAGAACGCTCATGTATCAATTTTCTACTTGGCCGACTCATCATTGGAATGACCCACCTCGTTATATTTTTAAGCATTCTGCAATATATATATATATATATATATATATATATATATATATATATATATATATATATATATATATATATATATATATATATATATATATATATATATATATATATATATAATATAGAGATGTATATATTAATAATAATATGTAGACTCAGAATCGTTACAAAATCATAATAGGCAAAATAAAGTGAAGTTTTTGTTTCTAAGACTTTAGAAGAATCTAAGCAAGTGAACTAAAGTAATGTACGAACTTAATTAGTAGAGCTTATTCATAATTATTATTATTACTCAATAAACGTTATATGTAGTTCTAGGAGTTTATAAAGTTTTCTGAAGTCACAAAAGGCTGATAGGACTATGTCGAGATTGCTGATAACTGAGAAATTATATATGATATTTCGTTTCAGTATGTTTAAAAGTGGTTACAATTCAGAAATTATGATATCTTGGGTAAGCACAGGGCGACGGTGGTGGAGTCCTACACCACCTACTGGATGGACGTCCTCTCCGAGCACCTCTCCTTCTAGCTACCTTCGTCCTCCAGCAACACCTGATGGACGTCCTCTCCGAGCACCTCTCCTTGTAGCTACCTTCATCCTCCAGCAACACCTGATGGACGTCCTCTCCGAGCACCTCTCCTTCTAGCTAGCCTAGGGACTTGCCAGTACGCCACGAGACTGTCACTTTGCTGTGAGGCTCCAGGGCCGATCAGCGGGTCATGCGTGCAGTCGGCAAGTACCATGAGCAGACATGTTGGGACCCGAAAGATGGTGAACTATGCCTGGCCAGGATGAAGCCAGAGGAAACTGGTGGAGGTCCGTAGCGATTCCACGGTTATGACCCAGTGGATCATAACTATTTAATATTATCTAACTTTAACCCTCTAGATTCATGTTTTCAGCCTATGGTAGTATTAATTATAATTATTGATCATGGAATGGTACTTTCAAGTAGCAGTGTAGTGATATATTGTTTAATGATGTAGCATGCTTGTATTATTAATTATAAACATTCTATATGGTTATTAGTGAGGTGAAGGGGAGTTACGTATGTTTGTTCCTATGTAACTCGTATGAACGAGTTGTTCATACGAGTTAAGGTGCACATACAGGTCTGTAACGCGTTGGAATAACATTGTATTTATTGAGGTGGCTGGGACTGTCAGAGCTACCAACGGTAGAGGTTACCTTAATGTAATATTATGCACCACTGTTATGTAGATAATTGGTAAGGAGTATTGAGTGTTAATTGATTGGAACTAATAATTACTGTTCTCGTTATTAATAACATTGTTAGCCAATTGCGAGTATATTAGACTTTTTCTGTTGGGTCATATGTAGTAGGGTTGGCCTCTTTGAATTGGTGCGGCGTGAAGCACATTCATGCCCAGTCTGCAGTAGCTGCTGGAACGTCATGGGTAGAGGACACGCTGCTCTCTCAGATAAGTATTATTTTTTGTTTAGACTTGTGGGTGGAACAACCTGTCTGTGTGGATATGTTAATTAATTCAGTAAATAACTGGAGCGCCTAGTGAACTTAATGTGTGCAGATAATAATGTTACACGCTTATTAGCCGGTTTATTAATGATTGAGTAACCAGTGAGTTAGGGAAATTATTTCTTATATGTTTTAACGTTGTTGTTGGTTATTTCTGATTATACTGGCGGTTGTTGAACTCTAGTGTTTCACTCCATTAGAGTTAGTCATATTTCCGTGAGCCAGGACACGGGAGACATCTCCCGTCACGCAGGGTGCAGTCGCACCTCCACAGATCTCCAGTATCAGCTCTTGATACTGGTAATGGCTCAAATGGGCCACCACTTACGGGCTATTCATGCCCGTGCCACCTTTTGGGTGGCTTAATCTTCATCAATCAATCACCGTGAGCCACATACCAGTAGCACCCACAACCCTGCTGGTAGACGTTATCTCCGAGCAGCCCTCCATCTAGCTACCCCCGTCTGAAGACTTAAGACTAGATACAGGACTAAGATACCCATTGGGCGAGCTTGACGTGGGTACAGCTGAAGAGAAGTCGGTGAGAGGAAGTGCTGAAGTTGTAGAAAAAGAGCCAGCGCTGAACCAGGCTGCGTGTCTAGAGTCGATGCTGAAACAAATCCATAACTAAATAGGCGTTGAGTTGGGTCAGGAAGGGCGGCTATGGCAGTGGTTCTTCAAACTAGGTTTTGGCAACCTGTCTTTTGGTGGTGTCTTCATTCTTGAGTCTTCTTTAGCTTCACTCTAGCCTTCTTGTAAGCTCCACTCTAGCCTTCTTGCACACTAATGCCCAACGCTGGGATTGTATATTATACTAGTTATTATTTTGTTTTAAACGCTACTTTTCTCAAAGTTGTGTCTTATGTTATTATACTTGTTTCTTCGTAATACCTTTATATGTGCTGGAAATTACTGTGTCGCGTCAAATATATGTTGGCCTACTGCAAGATATTTTCCCTGTGATATAGAACATATTTAGGTTAATGTAGGTAGACCCAGCGTTTGTTAGTAATTTTGCATTATATATGTATAAACCTGTTAATATGTAAAATCTTGTTCCTAAAACAATTAATAAAGAAGACTATATATATTCAGCATTGTGGATAAGTATTTCACAAACACTTTCACCTAGATGAGGCTTCAAAAAGCGTTTGTGCAAACTTTACCACATATAACATTAATTATTAACCCCGTATCAGTATCTCTTGTCTAACTTAGTCTACCAGCACGAGTATATTTAACCTAAACACTATTATTCTAGCGTTAGGCAGTTTAGCACCAAATACGTCTCAGACAAAATACGTCTCAGAAAATAATCCCAAAGCCAATTTTGTTCTCTGAAAAAAAGATTATAAAAAAAATGTGTCAAGCCTCTCACCTTTGGTCTTATCGCTATATGATCAACTGGACAATTTAATGGTTCTTGTTTAAAATGGGAAAGTTTGTATTGGCTAGAGGTTTACTAAAAAGTTAAAGACATATAATAGTGTTATATTCTACAGTGTTACTTTCTATTAAAAAAAACTTGACACCATTGTGTCTTGCGATCACTTATAGTCATGTCCCGTCTCGGTCATGGATATCAAACTTGAAGTTTGCTCCGAAAAGCGAGTGTTTAGTGTGGCCACTCAATCTGTGAGTGAACGTACCACAATGAAGTACAATTCAGTACAAATATTTTATCCTGTACAGCACTCTCATATTCTAAATAAAAGTGAATGTCCCTGTTGGTAGAGGGAAAGTGAATGTCAATCAGAGAACAAATGAAAGTTCCGAGTATGGCCACGAGTCCGTATAATGTTAGTATGGAAGACAGCTAACATATTCCTGTGGGGAATGGAGACGAACTATGTGATCTTCATACACTCCCGCGGCCTGCAACCAAGGGAGTGGGTTCAATCCCTGGGCAGGAGAGAAATAGATGGGTACATTTCCTTTCACCTGATGCCTCTTCATCTAGCACTAAAATAGGTACCCGGAAGTTAGGCAACTGTTGTGGGTTTCTCCATTGGTCATACTATTATGTATTAGCGATAAGACCTAACATTAATGTATAATGACTTACTGTAAATATATAGCTCTTGAAATAGCACTTTCTCTGTAACTAGCTGACATTGTAACTAAGGTGTGAAGGATAGATGAAATTGTTTATGTAATAATCTAAGATCAGGTCTGATAAAGACCTTTTGTGCCCTCTGTAATGCTTTTTGCGCTACCGCTCACAGGATAGGTATGGGGTGCACAATAAACTAGCCACCTCCAGCGTCAACAATCAATGTTGTGGGTTGCATCCAGGGGAAAGTCTTGACTTTAAAGGTGGGTTAACTTAAGGGGGGGGGGAACTTTGATATGCACAAGTACAGGCTTCCTGTCCCAGACAATGGAAATTATAGTAATTAGGAGTTGTCAGCTTTCGTCAGGAAAAATGTTCAAACTGGCACCAGTCTTTTCGTCGTTTTAATGGAGCTTGTAGTGCAGTAGTTAAAACAGTCAAGAGTCGGCAAATAATTGTAACAGAATTCGATTCCGGTTAAGACAATACATTTTCATTGCATAAATTTTGAATGGACAAACTTCAAAATAAAGCCCTAAGAATTATACTGGGCTCTTCAATAATTACCAAAGTTCTTAATATACGAAAAGAACTAAGAATTCCTATCATTGCAGGTATAATATTTGAAATAAATATAATGAAAATAACATTGTATAAATTGAACTATTAAAACATACTGTATGCAGTTCAACTAGTGATTATGAAGGAAGTCAAAGAAAACCAAACGTCAGTCATGGTCATTATATACCCCACCAAGAAACAAATAACTCACAACCTTCATATTTAATTTTCTGCTAAATTAAGTATCCTTGAACACAAACAATATACATACTGTACTGAAAGAACATTCCCACAGATAATATTTACCTGAGGGTAAATAATTCCTCGTCGGCATTAGGCCTCGTCGAGGCCACTAATTCTAGTGGCCTCGACGAGGACAGGAAGGCGGCGGCTTGCCAAATGTTCCCCATTTGCTCCTTACGAGCTTTTCCAGTTTAATTATAAAATTTAACAGAGTTTTGACATTTACGGCTTCGGCGGGTAGTCGGTTCCGTGGGCTTATAACCCTGTGTGTGAAAAACATCTACTTTTCTCAGTCCTACATCGTGGGTTGTTGAGCTTGACATCGTTGTTCCTTGTTTGTGTTACATCTGACATTTTGAAGAAATTGTCCAGATCACCATCCTCCAAATTGTTCAGTATTTTAAAAGTTTCAGTGAGATCCACCTTGGCATGCCTGGTTTGAAGGGTTGTTAGACCTGTGGCCATCAACCGTTCCTGATACTGTGAATTGCCTTAACTCTGGATGATTTTTGCTGTCCGGTGTTGTACCTTCTCCAGAGCAGCTATCTTTTTGAAGATGAGGTATCGTCCATGCCGGGATGCAATAATTCAGGTGGGGGCGCACCAAAGACTTATACAATTGAATGACTACCTTCTTTTCCTTAAAGCTAAAGGTACGCCTGATTATTCCTTGGGTTTGGTTAGCTTTTTTTTTACTGACGCTCTCACTTGTTATGCAACTTTCAGTGAATGATGAATTCTGACTCCAAGGTCTTTTTCTTCATCAATCTTCTGCAAGGTAATGCTGTTAATTTGGTAATTGTGACGTGAATTGTTATGCCACACATAAAAAAACTTGCATTTATCAATATTAAAAAGCATTTGTCAGTCTTCTGACCATTTGTGCAGCTCATGGATATGTCTGAAAATTCTCTATATCATTTTCACTTTCCACTTTGTTGTTGTTGACTGTTAATTTTGCGTTCAAAGTTGTTGAAAATATTGCAGTAGCTCTTGATTATCTCCGACTCCTTTTCCTCATTACTAGCTCAAAATTCTTTGCAATGAAAATGAAACATGCTTGTCTCTGAATACAGACGTGATCCACGATTGACAAGTCACGGGAAATGTAGACTGGATATCTTGGTCCCAAGCCGGAACCGTCTTGGTTCGGTGTTCAGCTTAACGACTATCAACCTATAGAATGTTATTCTAAGGCAACAACAACAGCGTCCTGACCAACCAGCAAGAATACTTTAGCCATGAACATATTCCAGGATTAAAGTTAATTCAGTGTATATACTGAACTGATATATACACTATATACACTGTATATACACCGTATATACACTGAGAAACGGGTTACACCACTTTGATAAATATATTCCTGTGGGAGCGTCTTCAACAGTGTGCAAGAATAACAGCGGTAGCTGCTTACATGACGTCAGGTCAGGTATGCTGGGAAACACAGATGACCCTTTACCTGAGGGCCACCTTGGGGCTGCTACGGGGGCAGGAAGCCGGCGGCTTGCCATCTTGTTACATAATCACTCAATAAATCTGGAAACTTTAAGTGACGAAAACTCTTAGATGAATTATGAAAAAGACAGAAGATTGCGAACAGGATCCATAAGATTTATTGTTTATTACAAGACGTTTGTAAAACAAAACCTTTGTATGGAGCAAGTAACAAAATCAGTAGATTGACAGATGTTGTCACAGTCGAATACGACTTGGATATAAGTGTGAAAATTTCAACTTGTATGGGGATCTAGAAGGTGTAGCAAGTAAATTATGTCAGTAATATACTTGCTCCAAACTCTAATTAGCTTATGTTTAGATAATGAGATAGGTTTGTTATTCCATTTAGTCCATTAATGCTAAATTCCACACGGTCATATCATATATATATTAGTTCGTGAGATTGTTGTTGTTGTTTAAGATTCAGCTACTGGGGACTAAAAGTTCCAAGTAGCACGGGCTATGGTGAGCCCGTAATGGACTTACCTGGCACAGGAGCGGGGCTGAAACTTGAATGGTCGACATCTCATGAGATGTTGTTTTAGATTCAGCTACTCTGAACAAAAGTTCCAAGTAGCACGGGCTATGGTTATCCCGTCTCATGAGATATATGTGACCTCACAAATATATGAGGTCACCTCATATATTTCACACCTCATCTCAGGTGAGATGTGAAAAATTATTTTCTATATGTAGAATATAATTAGTCTACATATATAATATTATTATATTTTAAATGTAGAATACAATATAAACATATATAATCGGTAGGCAATGACAGGCAGCCATTGGGTTTAAGAAAGTACATATCATTGATGAGTTTTACATTTTTGTAAAGCCACTAACATGCATAGCGTTTCGGAGAAGATAACCTCATTACCATACTCTTCCCGAAAAAAATTTTGTACTAGTTTTTTCTTTTTTATTTAACGGACTTAGGTATACACAACAATGTGCTGCTACCCTATTCAATATGAAAGATTACAGTGTAGATAAAAAACTAGATATAAGTTCATCTAATATTCCCATCTCACAGGATGGGAATATGTCATACATAGAGTCACAGGAGCAAATACCAGCCTCAATGCAAAAATAAACTCTGACTAAGAAAAACCTAGCTTTAAGTTCATCTAATATTCCAATCTTAACGGGGTGAGAATAGCTTGAACTACCTCATCCCTTTGTGTGTATTTTACCTCAATAAACTTATTTCAATCTCAATTTCAATCTCACAGGATGGTTAGTCATTCATGGAATCAGGGGGAGGAAATACCAGCCTCAATACAAAAACAAACCAACTCTGGCCAAACAACTAGCTATTAAGTTCATCTAATATTCCCATCTCACAGGATGGTTAGTCATACATGGAATCAGGGGAGAAAATACCAGCCTCAATACAAAAACAAATCAACTCACTAAAAAATCAGGAGAGAACATGAAATGTTAGGCAGATCTATTAGCCTTTACTAGTGAAACAGGCTAGTGAGATGGAAACTTTAGATGAATTTTGATCCACATTATATATCCCATCATTGACTATTAAGAGGCGTATATAGTGTGTATCAAAGACTAAATTCGCCAGGAATATGTAAGGTTTTCTTTTGAAACTTTAGGAAGCGTCCACAGAAAACATTTGATATGCCTAACTATTTTATTATTATTTTTTTTTTTTACCCCCAAGGGACGAGTTTATTAGGCAATCACTTATTGTGTCGGTGACAGGCAGCCAGTTTATATATACCGTG